TAATATAGATAGATACGTTCCTACAACAAAATAACATGTTATCGTGCTTTTTACAAAGCATCAAAATGTTGAGATAGATGAAAAAACTAAGAAGACCGCCGAGACCGACAATTTCTTACATTTCTTGAGCATCCACCTTCGTCTGTCGGGCGGGTTCTTACATTCCTTGAGCATTCAGCTTCGTTTGTCGGGCGAGTTCCATGAAGAGAATGTTGAACTTGGACATAGCGAGCATGAAGTTTTTCCAAGCGGTATTTGGTTGCTTGAATTTCTGCCATCAAATATTTCTGTTCACGAAGCAACTCTGATGGTTGAACGGCCTGGACAAGCACCTAAATCAAACAAATAACAAGAGAGCAAAATATGTGTTATATGTAAAAAGGCTTATAAAATTTTATACCCACTGCACAAACCTGAGAGGAACTTCCAGGAGCACGCGCTGGCGCATATGGAGGGTTTTCATTGTCCTCTTCATCAGAACTTTCATCCGGAACTTCTTGAAAAAAATCATACATTCTAAGCGCTGCCTTCAAAAGGTCCAAATTATCTGCAATGAAGTTTCATAGTATTAAAAATTTAACAAGAACTACTATATTTTTGCGATGCAAATATTTTATAGCGGGCTCACATTGGGGGATGAATGGGTCAGTGAGAGACGTGTCTAGTGAAGTTCTGTCCACAATACGTGGATGCAGTAATAAGGCAGTGTTCATGTAACTTTTATCCAGCTCGTAGAATACATCAGGGAACGATTCATCATGAATCACATCCGCTGGTACAACTCCTACATAACCAAAAAGCAAACAAACTTTTATAAGCCTTTTTTACAGAATTTTTATAAGCTTTTTTATATTTTTTATAATACAATGGGTATAAATTTTTATAAGCCTTTTTACAGATTCTTATAAACCTTTTTTACACTTTTTATAATACAGTGGGTATAAAGTTCTCATACCTATGTCTAACCAGCAGCTGCGGACTCTTCCAACTCCATCGTGGATGACATAGAAGTATTCTCCACCATCAGCACTTGCATCCAGCCACATTGGAGGATCAACATGAGAGCTTTCACCTTCGCGAAGTTGAAGGTTGAATCTTCGGGAATTTCCTTCAACGCTAACAAGGCAAAACGAGTGTGCCACCATTTTCCCGGAGATATCAATGCCAGATAGGTCGGACAAGACTTGCAGAGCATGTATCAATCCCCAAGCTCGGAGAACCAACTGGCTTGGTGCAATTTGCATCAGCTCGCAATACTCTGTCATGATCCATGACAGATAACGACGAAATCCAAAACCGACACATGATCGATACATTGTTTTATAAATCTCTGTTGGAGCAGCCGATGGAGCCGATTCGTTATCTCGATTTATCTGCACTTGAGTGTGCATATCGGAAATGGTGAGATAGGCTAAGAATAAATCATTCATTGGATTAGCCATCTCACTGCAAATCCAAAAAACAATAAAACTGTGTTAGTGCAAAAGTAGTTTTAAAAATTCTTATAAATTAAATTCATTGCAATAACCCATATGTCCAGCGAATCTGCTTTGAATATTTTTCTTTATTAAAACAGACGGATATAACACATACAAACAGATATGCAACCATAATTTTCCAAAAACTCTATTTTTCCAAAACCCTAACCCCCCCCCCCCCATTTTTAGATATACAGACATATAAAGCCCCAGATTTTTCAC